GGGAACAAGGGACAGGAGGAGAGGGAACGGCCTCCAGCTGTGCCAGGGGAGGCTCAGGTTGGCCAGGAGGAGGAATTTCCTGCTGGAAAGGGTGGTGAGGCCTTGGCAGGGGCTGCCCAGGGAGGTTTGGAGTGCCCAGCCCTGGAGGTGTCCCAGGAAGGCCTGGCCGTGGCACTCAGTGCTCTGGGCTGGGGGACAAGGTGGGGATGGGGCACAGGGGGGATCCGTGGGCTGGGATCCTCAGGGATCCTGGGATCAAAGGAGAACAAGATCCTGATTAATCATTATTAATCCCTGGAGAAATGTCCCTCAGCCACTGGTATTTGGGAACCAGCGAGACCCTGGAACACTTTGGGTGTTGGGTGCCAGTGCCACCAAAACCGGTGAAAAACCCTATTCCCGAGTGATTGGATGCCTCTGTTGGTTGTGGGGCTTTGCAAACTTGGGGCTTTGCACACCCTGATCAGTGCTGAGGGCCAGTAACCTCCCTTGTCCTTTTGCAGGGAAGATCCTGAACATCCACCCGTCCCTGCTGCCGTCCTTCAAGGGGGCCCACGCGCACCGGCTGGTGCTGCAGGCGGGCGTGCGCGTCACCGGCTGCACTGTGCACTTCGTGGCTGTGAGTCCCTCCCCTTCCCCCTGTGCCCCAGCACCCTTCCAGTGCCCACCCCAGAGCCTGCCTGGAACACCCCAAACCCTCGAGTCTGACCCCCTTCCCTCCTTTGTGCACTCAGAACAGTCTGTCTCTGTATAACAGAGATCAGGGCAGTGCTTCATTTCCAGCCCCTTCTGCAGGGACAGCAAACTGAAGAGTCTGGCTGGGAGTTTAAGCTTTCCCTGAGGGAACTTCTTCCCTGACCCTCCCACTGCTCCCTTCCACCCTTTGGAGTGGGGAGACTAATTCATGTAAGGCCTTGGCTAAGCCAAAATCTTTATTGAACACGGCCCCAACTGCTTGGAGTTTATCCTACAACCTGCCTGGGTTGTTGCCTTCAAAAAAAAGGAAAAACTATAACAAACAAAACCCTCAAACAAACAAATGTCACAAACAAAAACCAAAACACCACAAAAAAAACTCCCCAAAAATAAACCCCCAAAAAACCCACTGGAAATGTCAGGAGAAGCTGGGATTTTTTTTTTTTTTTAAGGAGTGACACTTTCTGTTGGTCAGAACTTCATCAAACCAACCTCAGAGGTGTCTCAGCTTCAGAGACACGTTTTGATCAGGCTGGGGAGCCTTTGTTCCACCCTGTTCAGCTCGGGGTTTAGGGAACTCTGCTCCCCTCCTCCTGCTCCCCCTTCCACTGCTGCTGGAATCTCTCCTCGGGATTTTTCCTTTCTCTTGGAAAAAGAGGCAGAAATTATTTTTCCAGCTAGAAGGGAAAAGTGCCTCCCTTCCTCTGGGCCCTGCCCCGGGGTTTCTGTGTGTGGCAGTGCCCTGAGGAACAATCCCTGACCCGCAGGGATCTTCCCCAGGGAATGGCTGGATCCCTGTCCCAGCTCCATGCCAGGGCCTGGCTCATTCCCCCCCTGGATTGAAATGCCATCGTCCTGCCCAGTCCAGCCCCTCGTGTCCCTGGTTAACAGAGCTTTTGGTGTGTTCAGGAGCACAGGGTTTGCTCCCTGGAGTTCTGCTCCCTCCTGCTTTCCCTTGAACCCTTCCCGGGCCAAAATCGGCTCCAGCACCTTCTGTGCCCTCCTGCCCTCAGCCCCACCCGTGTCCCAGCACAGTGACACAGTGACACAGATCCCTGAGCCAGCCAGGCGTGTCCCTGTCCCCCAGGCAGGCCCTTCCCTCCCCAACGCCGTGGCTGCTGTTCCCGCAGGAGGAGGTGGATGCCGGAGCCATCATTTTCCAGGAGGCGGTGCCGGTCAAGGTGGGCGACACGGAGCAGACGCTGTCGGAGCGGGTGAAGGAGGCGGAGCACAGGGCCTTCCCTGCTGCCCTGCAGCTCGTGGCCAGCGGGGCTGTGAGGGTGGGGGAGGCTGGGAAGATCTACTGGAAGTAGGAGCAGCAGCACGTCCATGGATGTCCTGGGATGGGACAGCTGGGGGGCCCCGGCTGACCCAGCCGGGTCACAGACCCACAGCACGGACAGTGTTCCCTTCACTCACCTCATGGTCCCACAGGGGTAAAGATTCAAATAAAATCCAGAGAAAGCCACAAACGGGAATGTTGAGGCTGTTCCCAGGAGGTGCAGCAATGGCTCTGGTGCTTCCTAATTTTAATCACTTCCTTGGCCAACATTTCGGTGTCGGTCACTTTCCTAACAAAGCAAACCCACCCCGGTGGTTCCAGAGGGAGCTGAGCCCCTCTGGGACTGAATGGGGACAGCAGAGCTGCTCCTGCAGAGCCCCAGGCTGGGACAGGGCCTCTCCTGGGTTCTCCTGGGAAGTGTCTGGGGGGAAAAGTACAACGGAAGAGAAAGGCAGAAACTTTCACTCGTAAAAACCTCAGGCAAAGCAAGGAAAACCGGCCTCCCAAAACACCAAAACTGTTGGATTTTTTACCATCCAGTTTCTGGTTTGATGGTGGTAGATCTTGTCTGGCCCAGTTCTTTGATATATCCTGGAATTCCAAGCACTGAACCTGCTGTCAGTCAGATGCCAATGGGATTCAGTGTCTGCTGCCCGTTTTCCCTCAACATTCCCACCTGAAAGCCCAGGAATTCCCCTCAGAGATTCGTCCAGCACCAAAACAGTTGCGTTTCTGGGTTTTTAAAATGAGCAGAAAGACCTGACACAAAACTTGTCCTTGGCTTGTGAGACATCCCTCGGGAATTCTGAAGTGCCTTTATTCCTGGAGCAGTGTTTCCACCTGGAGTGGCACTGATGGACACCCAGAGACTGTGAACATTGGAAAACAATCCGGGTTTTTGTGCAGCTCAACACCTGTGGGTTTCTTTTAATATTTTAGTACCGTTATGGAACCATTTTAATGTGCTCACTAAAGGAATCAGGCTTCCCTCCCACAAAGGAGAGGGAGCTGAGGATGTGCTTTAGAGCTCCCCCTTAACACAGAGAAAGCTGATTTTATTCTGGGCTCTCATGTCCTGATGGTACTTCCATGTTGGCATAATCTCCTTTGGATTTGAAATAAAGTCTAATAAGGTAAAAAAAAAAAATCAATCTAAAAATATTTCCTTGGAATTCCTTTACCAGGGAGCTGGAGGAGCTTGGGAAAGGGGATGTTCTTGGAAGCAGGGCAGGGGAGGTCACACGGCCTCAGTCCTGCTCCAGGCAGGGGAGTCAGGAGAAACAGAGGCTTGGAGGGGTGAAATCACTGCCCGTGCAGTGAATAAATACCACAGTAAATGAGCATCACATTATTGACCAGAGCAGTTGGGTCACTGCCAGAAAGGCAGGACACACAGAGGCTCCAAATCCAGCACCCCACTGCATCACCCCCCAATCCATCATCCCCAAATCCAACACCCCCAATCCTCCAACATCCCCAATCCCCCAACACCCCCAGTACAACACTCCCAAATCCAACACCCCCAGTCCAACACCCCACCACCTCGCAGGCACACTGATCCAGACTCAGGTATTTGCTGCTGGCAAATGGGATTTCATGGAATCCCAGACTGGTTTGAGTTGGGAGGGACCTTAAGGATCATCTTATCCCACCCCCTGCCATGGGCAGGGACACCTTCCACCAGCCCAGGTTGCTCCAAGCCCCGTCCAACCTGGCCTTGGACACTTCCAGGGATCCAGGGGCAGCCACAGCTTCTCTGGGCAACCTGGGCCAGGGCCTCCCCACCCTCCCAGCCAAGAATTCCTTCCCAATATCCCATCTATCCCTGCCCTCTGGCAGTGGGAAGCCACTCCCTTGTCCAAAGCCCCTCTGACCTCTCTGTATTCCTACAAATGCACACAAAGGAATTTCCCAGTGAGCTGGATCTTTGTTCACCTTCCCCTCTGGAAAAAGAACAGCCTGGTAAGTGAACTCTCACCAGACCCAACCCCAGAGGGGAGGCAGGAACACAGAGAAATCTGAGCTGTTCCGACCGTGGGATCAGCTGGAGACCCAGCAGAGCACAACCAGCACCCTCCTCTCTTTTAACATTTTATTTGTTGCTTTGGAACAGCCATGCAATTCCAATGAAGTACAGCAGGAAGCTACTCCACAGTTACAACAGACCAAACACAAAGCAAGCAGTGCTTTGATCACAGAAGTTATCTATACCAAACATTCCATAACCTTGCCTGGGTGCAGTTCTTCCTATTTCTCCCAGATCCTGAAAAAGGCACCTTCCTTGCTCCAGTCGTTGCAGTGCAAGGGACAAATCCAGATCTCTGTCCAGGAATGGCAGTTTATAGGAGGGAAGTGAATTCCTCCCCTCCCTGAGCATCAAACCCCACGTGCCACAGTAAAGCCACTACACAGAATAAAAAAAGGGGAAAATTCAGCCTTTGGAACTGGAGCTGCTGCTGCTCCCACACAGCCCAACACAGCCAAGAGCACAGACACAGCAGGGCCCTTCCAGGACACACCACACAACAGGAATAGATTTTTCCCACTGCATCAAATGGCTCTTGTTGATCCCTCCTCTGTAAAATTCATCTCTGGCTACTTCATTTCTGTTTTGGCTTTTCTGGCTTTCTTCCTGATTTGCATGAAGGTCACAATTCTGGCAGAGACACTGAGAATCATGGAATGGTTTGGGTGCCAGGGCCTTCCCACCCTCCCAGCCAGGAATTCCTTCCCAATATCCCATCCCACCCTGCCCTCTGGCAGTGGGAAGCCATTCCCTGTGTCCTGTCCCTCCATCCCTTGTCCCCAGTCCCTCTCCAGCTCTCCTGGAGCCCCTTCAGGCCCTGCAAGGGGCTCTCAGCTCTCCCTGGATCCTTCTCTTCTCCAGGTGAACCTCCCCAGCTCTCCCAGCCTGGCTCCAGAGCAGAGGGGCTCCAGCCCTGGGAGCAGCTCAGTGGCCTCCTCTGGACTCCCTCCAGCAGCTCCACATCTTTCTCCTCCTGCTCTGAGAGCAGCACAGTCCCTGTCTGGGGTTGTTTTGGGAAGCTCCCAGGGCTCTGCCGTGTGCTGCAGCCACAAAAACGGATCCCTTGGAAGAAAGACTTTCCCTTGGGAGCACCGGAGCAGTTCCGCAGCCGGAGCCGTCCCTGGGACTCGTCATGTCCTTCACAGACCAAAGAACAGAACCCAGAAATTCCAAATCTGAAAGCACAGCTTGGCTTCCACTGCTGGTTTTCTGAGAGGAGTGTAAGGAAAGCTGTGAGCTGAGGGAAAAGGCTGGGAGTGGAAACCTGAGACATGGACACATGGGAGAGAAGCACAGGGAGGAGCAGGGGGAGGGAAGGTGAGCACAAAGAGCCCCTCGTTACCCACCTACTCCCCGTCGTGTTCCGGAGGCTCCGGAGCCACGAGGGAGAACGTGCAGTCTCCCTTCTCCCCGTGCAGTCCCAGACTTTGGCTCTCCTGCTTCCAGGAGGTTCTTCCATCAGCTCCCAGGCTCACGGCCCCGCTGGCCACGAGCTGCAGGGCCACGGGGAAGGCGCGGCACTCGGCCTCCTTCACCCGCTCCGCCAGCGCCTGCTCCGTGTCCTCCGCCCGCACAGCGATGGGCTCCCGGTGGATCACGGCCCTGGGGCCGGAGTCCTCCTGGAATGGGACAGGGGGGGGTTTAGAGGGGGTGCGGAGCGGGGTCGGGGAGGTTCTGGGTGATGCCCACGGGGCAGAGATCTCGGTGGGCACGTGGGTGGTTGTGGGCAGGAGGCTCCGAGCGCACCTGGAGAGGTGCCACCTGCCCAAGGGACACCTCCGTGACCCCAGGGGGACATCAGGGAGAGCTGGATGGCAGGCTGGAGAAGTGCCACCTGCCCAAGGGACACCTCTGTGACCCCGGGGGGACATCAGGGATGGCAGCTCTGGGCCAGTGCTGAGAGGGGGAGAAACTGCAAAAATCACCCCAAAATACAAAGGAAGAAAAGGGGACTTTAAGAAACCCCAAATACAACACAACCCCAGGCCTTTTACTGGTAACAACCCCAAGGTTCCCACACCTCCCTGTTCCCTCTGCCTGCCTCTGCCTTCAGAAAGGAAAGAAAAAAGCCAATTCCTTTTCCTGAAGACACTCACCAGGACAAAATGCACGGTGCAGCCTGTGACCTTGAATCCACCTTGGGGGGGCTCCTGAGAGGCATTTCCATCCTTGGTGAGTGGAAAAAGTGAGGGAGAAGCATTCAAAATTTTCCCTGGACATCAGAGAGGAGTGGAAAAAAAAAAAAAAAGGAGAAAAAATGATAATTTGAACTGAATTTCCTTAAAAAATACAAGTGAGATGAGATCAGTGGTTCCAAACAGCACTGAGCACCTCTGGCCTGCTCTGAGGGAATTCTGCTCTTCCAGGAGAAATCAGTCTCTCTCCCATTTTTTCTGAGGGGGAACTGCACGGAGTGAGTTCAGCAGGACCCCCCAGCAGAGCTCCTTGGCAAAGGATGGGATCAAAGCCCTTCCCAGGGGAGGCAGCAGAGCCAGTCCGTGCCCTGCCTCTACCCTGTGTCACCCCTGATGCAGCACAGGGGGTTTCTGTGCCAATCCACAGCCAGAATCCCACTGCCAGGAGGGATGGAAGCACAGGGCAGCCCCTCTGCTGGAATGTCCTCAGTGCCAGCGAGGCTGAGGGATTAACCAAAGGACAAAACTCCGGCAGGGGAGTCCTGGTGCGACCCACCATCCCTGCTTTAGGTTCTCTTCTGCACCGATAATTTCTTACCTTTCCATTTTCGGAGAAAAGGGCTGGACAAAACCCTCATAAACCCTGACAGACAGACCAGCTCCACAGAGAACTCCTCCAGCACTCGGTCGATTGTGCTGTCGAATTCCGAGCGACTCCCGTACAGCTTGTGGTCAATCACCTGGAACATTCCAACAGCAAAACCATGGCATGGGAACAGCTCGGTGGGATTGAGAAACAGCAGCAAAGACGAACAAACTGGATTCATTCCAGGACACTCCATGATTTAAAAGGAGGTTGGAGTGAAGTGGGGGCCAGACTCTCTCATGTCCCAAGGGAAAGGAGGAGAGGAAATGGCCTAAAATTGCACCAGGGCAGGTTCAGGTTGGAGATTAGAAACAATTTTTCCCTGCAGGAGTGGTCAGGCCTTGGAATAAGTGTCCCAGGGAGGTGGTGGAGTCCCTGTGTCTGGGAGTGTTCCAGAGGTGTCTGGATGTGGCCCTTGGGGACGTGGATTAGGGGTAACTGTGGTGGTGCTGGGGTGGGACTGGGTGATCCTGGAGGGCCCTTCCAGCCTTGATGATTGTGGGATTATTCAGCACAACATGAGACACAGGTTTTCATCCTGGAGGAGAGAAGGCTCCGGGGAGACCTGAGCCCCTTCCAGTGTCTGAAGAGGGACTTGGATGGACTTTGAACAAGGGCCTGGAGGGACAGGATGAGGGGGAATGGCTTCCCAGTGCCAGAGGGCAGGGATAGATGGGATATTGGGAAGGAATTCCTGGCTGGGAGGGTGGGGAGGCCCTGGCCCAGGTTGCCCAGAGAAGCTGTGGCTGCCCCTGGATCCCTGGAAGTGTCCAAGGCCAGGTTGGACGGGGCTTGGAGCAACCTGGGCTGGTGGAAGGTGTCCCTGCCCGTGGCAGGGGTGGCACTGGATGGTTTTTAAGGTCCCTCCCATCCCAAACCAGTCTGGGATTTTATGATTCTGAGAAGGAATAAGCCCAGGGGAAACATGTTCATGTGTTTTGCAGAACTTGAAATCTCACTGATTTCAGCCAAAGCTTGAAGCTCATGGGCTGCAATTCTCAGACCCAAATCAGCAGTTTAAATCCCTCCCTAACTCTGGGCTGGGAAGGACTCCCAGACCCCTGTGAGGACTCCCAGCCCTGCCTCTCCTTCCAGCTCTGCCAGCTGTGTCTCCATGCACTGACCCACGGGGAAAGTTCTCCCCAGCAGTGCCCCCTGACTGCTCACAGGCGCTTCCTGAACTGCTCCGGGGTCGGGAGCTGGGGAGAAAAAGGAAAGGAGATGGGTGTCCTTACCCTGGTGGGAATTCCAGCCCGGGCTGCATTCCGGAGTTCTTCCACGCCAGACTTGTTGGAGATGACAAGGACGACCTGGGCACAGCTGCCTGGCTCCCTGGTGTAAGCGATGAGCGCCGAGAGGGCCGTGCCTCAGACAGACAGAGCAAACAGGGGGGACACACATGAGCCCCCAGGCACTGGGACGAGCTCCCAGCCCTGCTCATCCAACAGAAATCTGGTTTTTCACAACTGCCCAAACAGCACAAAGGAATTGGAGCACTGACACAGCTCCTTTAAGCAGCACAACACACCTCCTGGGCTCTGGTCAAAGTGCAAGCCTGGCTTCAGAAGGTCTGTGGACTCTCCTGAAGGAAAGTCAAGGTGGATGCACCTGGGTCAGGGCTGAGTCCAAGCTCTCCTGTGCCAGGACATTTCCCTGTGCCAGGACAATGGGAGCTCACCTGTTCCAGAGACTAGAACTGCCACCTTCACCTTCCTCCTCCTGGGCTGGTGCCGAGGTTCCACGGCGGTGTCACCCAGCAGGCCCTGGGGGCTGCTCTGCTGCAGGGCCTCCACCAGGTTCTCCACTTCCACGTGGGAACCTCCTCCAAACACAGGAGGAAAGTGTTAGACTTGACTCTGCCCTCTGAACTGACCCTGTTGAACTTATAGACTTTAATATGGTTTATTAACAATAAGTTTCAATGACAAGGTGTATCAACAATGAGTTTCTGCTGGCACTGGTGGGACTACAAAGGCACTCCCAGGGGTTGTGCTGATCCCTTTTGTGTTACTCACTCCCAGAGGTGTTCAAAGGGCCTGGGCGTGGCCTGGCCTTCTCAAGGCTTAGCCCCATCTGTTATTCTCATCTTCCTCTTCCTCTCATGTTGCAAAATGACACTAAAACCCGTGTTGATGGAGCTGAGGTGACATTTTGGCTGCCCAAACTGTTTGGTTTCCAGAGGGATTTTGGCTCACATCATGGTGGATGTCAGTCAATGGACACACCTTCAGCCCTACCATCACACAGACCATCCACAGCTCATCAGCTGCACAGATCCTCAGCCTTTACATGGATCTGTGCAGTCTGGGAAGGAGGTGAGTTGATTACCAGGATTGTGGTAAAATGTCAACTAATATTTGAGGGATTTACTGGAGCCTCCAGAAGGTACCTGGGTAAGAGGTTATCCAGGTACTGTCACTCTGAAGCAACATTCACTCCTCACTATTTGATAAGGGAATGTGGGTGTGGAGGTGTGAAAGAGCCTCCACAGCCTGGTGAAACAAGTGGAAAAAGATGTGAACCACACAACTTTTGCACCAGGGAGTCTCAGGGCCTCCAGAGCTGCGGGCACCTGATGCCTCCCAGGACACGCTCAGCACTTCCCAGACTCACCCTCCAAAACAACTCACCCTGTCTCCACTTTAAAACCAAACAACACACCCCTAAGTGCAAACCCCACTGAAGGGAGAGCAAACCACGCTCTGAGTCATTTCTGGGGCTTTGCTTCCCACGAGGACCCTGCTAACCTGTGTGACACGGGGCCACCACCTTCCCAATGAGCCACGCGTCCTCCCGCCTCCGGATGGCCCCCAGGACGTGCTGGGCCAGGTCCTGCTGCACCACCAGCACTGCCCCGAGCCCACAGGGAAAGGTCTGGGCCATCTCCTCTGCAGAGAGGTTCCCCTCCTTGTAAAGCCAGCAGAAGATTTCAGGGATCTTCCAGCTCAGAGCGTCTGAAAACGATTGACGTTTGTGTGTCAGCAGCACAAACATCTGCCATGAGTTATTATTTATTATCTGTGTTACAAGAGCTGAGACTAATTCTTGCTATAACAGAGTCCCAGGATCACTGGGGTTGTACAAGCCCTCCCAGCCCCTGGATCCCCCCTGTGCCCCATCCCCACCTTGTCCCCCAGCCCAGAGCACTGAGTGCCACGGCCAGGCCTTCCTGGGACACCTCCAGGGCTGGGCACTCCAAACCTCCCTGGGCAGCCCCTGCCAAGGCCTCACCACCCTTTCCATGAAAAATTCCTCCTGATCTCCAACCTGAATGGTTTGGGTTGGGAGGGACCTTAAAGCCCATCCATCCCACCCCCTGCCATGGGCAGGGACACCTTCCACCAGCCCAGGTTGCTCCAAGTCCCATCCAGCCTGGCCTTGAAAATCCTTTCTAATTTCATTCTAGAGAAATCCAGTCAGACCCACAGACACCTTCCCTCCCCCTCCCCACCCCCACAGTATTTTTGGACTCACATGAACATGGTTTTCTTTACTATTTTGAACTTTTAAATACTTTGCCCAATTTTGGCTTCAACAGAAGAAGTTCTGCCTTACTGAGGGATGTCAGATGCTGTTGTGGGGAAGTTGCTGCCTCCCAAAAAGCTGCACTAAGCGTGTGTGTGCACCACAAATGAATGCCCCCAACAAGCCTCACTGTCTGGTCACAAGGTTCAGCGTGGAGCTGCCCTGTGGAGCACACCATCTTCTCCAACACCCCGTCCTAGAGATGTGCTGCCTTCAAACTCCTCTGAAATGTCCCTTCTCCAACAAGAGCGGTGCTCATGAGCTGATGCCACTTGAAATAGGAACGGATTTGGTGGGACCTTTGGAAAAGCACTGACCTGGGATCATTCCAGCCCAGCTCTTCAGACAGAGATGTAGAGTGTGTCTACAGCTGAAGCTGAAGAGTCAAGCCCATGTCCTGCCCAACAGGCACAGGGAGCTCTGGTACTCACCCAGCACGGCGCTGACGTGCTCCGGCAGGACCCTGGAGATGCCTCCCAGCAGCCCCTCAGCAATGGGGGCAAAGGCCTTCACGTGGCCCGAGCGCAGCACAGGCAGCAGGGCTGGGCTGTACAGCCTGGCTGGGCTCAGCAGGGCCTCTCCTGCAGACAACAGGCTCAGCTCAGCCCCTTGGTTTGACAGCTCTGCAGCTGGTTGGAATCATAAAGTCATGGAATGGTTTGGGTTGGGAGGGACCTTAAAGCCCATCCAGTGCCACCCCCTGCCATGGGCAGGGACACCTTCCACCAGCCCAGGTTGCTCCAAGCCCCGTCCAACCTGGCCTTGGACACTTCCAGGGATCCAGGGGCAGCCACAGCTTCTCTGGGCAACCTGGGCCAGGGCCTCCCCACCCTCACAGAGAAGAATTCCTTCCCAATCTCCCATCTCACCCTGTCCTCTGGCAGTTTGAAACCATTCCCCCTCCTCCTGTCACACTCTGGTCATATAAATAATTCCTCTCCCTCCTTTTTATAATCCCCTTTAGGCACTGGAAGGGGCTCTGAGGTCTCCTCAGAGGCTTCTCTTCTCCAGGCTGAACTCAATCAATTTATGCAAAAGGTCACAAGGTTATTTTTGGGAGTGCTCCTCTGAACAGGTTCCCTCCCACTCCTTGTGGCAAAGCTGGGAATTAAGAACAAGTGCTGGCCCACCCACTCTTCCAAAGCTGGACACAAGCCCCTGTGCCAACAACCCCAAGGCTGGATTAGCCCCCCCTGGCAGCCCCTGGCCCTGGCAGTGCCCCAGCAGACCCTCGTACCCAGCGTGGTGTCCCCACAGCTGCCAGGGGCGGGGGACGAGCAGCGCAGGGAGGACACGAGCAGAACCTTCCGGACGGCGCCGAAGCCGCGGCCGTGGATCCCAGGGCAGGCCAGTCCCAGGAGCACATCCCCCTCCTCGGCTCTCTGCAGCCCCAGGGGCACCTGCCCTCGCTCCACCGCGCCCACCACGAAGCCGGCCAGGTCCGAGTCCCCCGCGGAACACGCGCCCGGCAGCTCCGACAGCGCCTGCCCTGCACGGAGAGAGAGGTCAGTGCTGGGAACCAGGGGCTGTTCATGGCACAGAGAGCCACGGGAGGGACCTTAAAAACCATCCAGTGCCACCCCCTGCCATGGGCAGGGACACCTTCCACCAGCCCAGGTTGCTCCAACCTGGCCTTGGACACTTCCAGGGATCCAGGGGCAGCCAGAGCTTCTCTGGGAATTCCATTCCAGTCCCTCGCCACCCTCACAGGAAGAATTCCTTCCTAAAATCCCATCTAACCCTGCTCTCCTTCAGCTTAAGGCCGTTATTTTAAGACCATTTTAAATTGCTGGCATCTCCTAAAGCACCAGGATATCCAGGAGAGCCACAGGACATGCAGCCAAAGAAGCACTTTCAGATATATTTTAAAAATCCTTCTTGGTTTCTTACTTCACCTCAAGACTCCAACAAAGCTCCAGGAAAGAAGAAACATTTTTTTAATTATTATTTCATGTACTTATGTGGCACCTCCTGGTTAGGACTGAGTATCAGAGAGGGAATGAGAACATTAACACTTGAAGAACGTGAAGCCTCCAGTTCTGTTCTGCTTTTTACAAGGATAAAGGAGCAAGAACTGGGGTCCAAATGCACAAATAGTGAAAACCATCCCTCTGTGCTGACCCTTTTTACAAATAAGAAAGTATTTAAGCACAAAAGCTCAACTGTTTATGCACCAAACAGAACCCAACAATTCTAGTGTCAAAAACTCTGCCTCCAGAGTCCATTTCTCTGGTGATAATTTCAACCTCAATGTTCAAAGCCCAGAGGAGAGGAGTGTTCCTACCCAGGAAAGCACATCCTGCACTCCTGCAGGCTTCAGCTATTCCTTCTTGGATCGTCTCAGTCACTTCAGCATCAAGTTTGCCACAGGCAAAATAACTGAGGAAGAAGAGGGGCTCTGCTCCGTGGGCCAGGAGGGCATTGGCACACAGGGCCACCAGGTCCTGCCCCAGGGTGGAGTGTCTCCTGCAGGCCTGTGCCATCTGCAAAACATGGTGGGAAGGAGGAACAGGCAGAACTCACACATCAACCAGGCAAACGAGCAGAAATCCTCCTGTCTCTGACAGAAATCACTCCAGAACACAAGAGCAGGACAGACCCTGGTGCATCACCTGCCTTAAACCAAGAGAAAACTGCTCAGCTTCTGGCAGAGAAAAAGAAAAATCTATTTTGCTTTTTTAAACAATGATTCAAATTCTGGCTCCAGCTACCCAGAAATCATCATTTTGGGTTGGGGTTTTTTTTTGTTTGCTTTTTGGAATATTACCACGGAAACATGGAATGGTTTGGGTTGGGAGGGGCCTTAAAGCCCATCCAGTTTCACCCCCTGCCACGGGCAGGGACACCTTCCACTAGCCCAGGTTGTTCCAAGTTTATCCAACCTGGCCTTGGACACTTCCAGGAATGGGGCATCCTCTGGGAAATCCATTCTGGGGCCTCCCCACCCTCCCAGCCAACAATTCCTTCCCCATATCCCATCTATCCCTGCCCTCTGGCAGTTTGGAAGCCATTCCCTGTGTCCTGTCCCTGCAGGCCCTCATCCAAAGTCCCTCTCCAGCTCCCCTGGAGCCCCTTTAGGCCCTGGAAGGTCTTTCACAAAGCACAAACATTTCCCTCAGGAAAGCTGGTTTTCCCTGTGCAGGAAAGCCCAGAACAGGAAGATGGACAAGGGGAAGACACAAATCAACATCAGTGAGCTCAGAATGGGGACAGAGCAGAGCCTGAGCAAAGGCTGGGCTGGCATTACAGGCCTGGTTCATCTCCCTGGCTGCTGGATTTAGGAGTGCCATGGAAACCACTCACCCTTTGGTGCATTACAGCACCTCCCTCCCACTGCTCCAGGAACAATTCCTAAAGCCATTGGCCAACTTTTTTTTGGCCAAGGAAGAATCTTAGGAACAGCCTGTGGAAACACAGTTGGGAATGTCTCTCTGCCAAGCAGTTGGAACAAAGACTCACAAGAGCCAGTCCCAATCCCTTTTTCATGCTCAGAGGTGTCCAAGGGTGTAAGACTGCAAAAGACCTTCTGGATGATTCCCTGCAGTCTCCTGCTGTTTATCATCCTGTTATTAAAGGTACAAGCACCAACTTCAAACATGGGATGTTGCTGTGCTTGACCAGTGAAAGGAGCCTCAGGTCTCCACTTTTCTGGTGGCTGAAAACCTTCTGGTTCAATATATAAAGATATCCCTGGCTCAACTTATCCTGATCCAATATATAAATACATCCCTGGTTCAACCTATCCTGTTCTTGGGTAACTAAAACTCTTAAATCTTGGCTTCTATTCCCCTTTCATGTTTATTTCCTCCATCCTTCCTTTCCCCAGTGCCCTGACAGTCACCAGGGAGAGGTAACTGTGCTCCCTCTGCACACACAGTTTGCTGAGCTGAGTCTGACAGTTCTCATTTCACCCCTCCCTGAACAGATCTCTCTCAAAGCCAACGGACAGAAATTCTGGTTCTTAGTGCCTCAAGTGCTCACCTAAATGTTTGGTTTATTAGAATTTCATCACAAAATATCCACGTTCTCAGTGACAGGCCTTGCTCAAATGATCATCTCCAAAGTTGAGATGCCCACTGCAGTGGGCTCGGGTGTGTTTATGCTGCCCAGGAGGGTGCAGATGGTGTTACTGGCAGTGGCACTTAAAAGCCTTGGCAGGTAACACCAGATTTGCCACAGCTCAGTTGCAAGTTACCTGCAGTTTAGCTCCAAGGCCTTTAGTTTGACACACCAGGATGGGATCCTCATAACCAGATGCCTTCAAGTCAAAGAAACCAGCAAAGCCTCCCAGTTCTGGGCGACTGCCTGCTGAGTACAAACACACCAAGGATCATTCCCACGGCAAAGAAAAAAACCCAAGACCCTCAGCAAGACAAGAACTGCAAATTAGCACAGAATCCCAGGATCACTGGGGTTGGAAAAGCCCTCCCAGGCCATGGATCCCCCCTGTGCCCCATCCCCACCTTGTCCCCCAGCCCAGAGCACTGAGTGCCACGGCCAGGCCTTCCTGGGACACCTCCAGGGATGGGCACTCCAAACCTCCCTGGGCAGCCCCTGCCAAGGCCTCACCACCCTTTCCAGCAGGAAATTCCTCCTCCTGGCCAACCTGAGCCTCCCCTGGCACAGCTGGAGGCCGTTCCCTCTCCTCCTGTCCCTTGTTCCCTGGGAGCAGAGCCCGACCCCCCCCGGCTCCCCCCTCCTGTCAGGGGGTTGCAGAGCCAGAAGGTCCCCCCTGAGCCTCCTTTTCTCCAGGTATTTTTAACTATTATTTATTTATTTATTCTGTTATTTCTGTTCTTTTCCGTTCTGCACCTTGACAAAGCACGATCACCTCCAGGGAAAGCCAAGTATTTTTTAATTAATCATCAGACAAGAAAGAAAGGAGAGTTTTCTTTCTTTGTGGTGACCCCAGCCCAGCTTCCCCAGCTCAAATTCAATGCCACGAATGCACTGCTCACTTCCTGGGGAGAAAAAAATGTTGTTTCATCCAATATACTGAGGAAATTCAAATATTCTTCCCAGTCTTACCTGATCTGGTACCACTCCCAACTGATGTTTGTGGCAGATGAAACAGAACGTCCCTGGCTGCGGCTTCCACACGTCTCTCTCTGTACATCAGGGCCCTGTGGGGAGGAAGGGACGTGCTGGCAGCAGCAGGGACATTTTCTGCGAGGGCCATCCCCCCCAGGACCAACAGACACAAACCCCTGCACTGGCACACCCGTGCCAGGGCCTTTGCTTACATACAGAGGCTGTCGGAGCAGCCGCAGGCCCCGCTGGCCGACGTCCCTCCTGTACGTGGCTCCCTGGAAGTGGATGGTGGCCACACCCCTGTTGGCTTCTCCCAGGGCTTCCAGCAGGTCCTCCCGGACAGCGGTGATGGAGAGCACTCTGCCACCACTGGTCACCACCCTGCCATCCCTCAGCGCCGTGCCACCATGGAACACCTGCAGCCCCAAGGCCTTGGCCTGCAGCAGCCCTGCAAAAGCAAGAGGAATCCTCTGAGGATTTTAAATCACACACTCTGGCGACAGAATCGCAGAAACGAGGCTGGGAGAGACCTCCAGGATCACCCAGTCCCACCCCAGCACCACCACAGTCACCCCTAATCCATGTCCTCAAGGGACACATCCAGACACCTCTGGAACACTCCCAGACACAGGGACTCCACCACCTCCCTGGGACACTTATTCCAAGGCCTGACCACTCCTGCAGGAAAAATTGTTTCTAATCTCTGATCTGAACCTGCCCTGGGGCAATTTTAGGCCATTTCCTCTCCTCCTTTCCCTTGGGACATGGCAGAAGAACCCGACCCCCCCTCCCTGCCCCCTCCTGTCAGGGGGTTGCAGAGAGCAATGAGGTCTCCCCTGAGCCTCCTCCAGATAAACCCCCCCAGCTCCCTCAGCTGCTCCTCACAGGACATGTTCTCCAGACCCTTCCCCAGCTCCGTTGGACAAAGGAGTGAAGACTGAAGTCCTTTTTTCAGTCAGGGGAGAACAACAATAAAGCTTCTGACCTTTCCTTTCTTTGGAGAAACAGCACTACCAGTGAAGGGCAGCCACGGGCCCAGGAACCCCTTCTGAGACATCCAGTAAGTATCACAATATCCCAGACTGGTTTGGGTTGGAAGGGACCTCAAAGCCCATCCAGTGCCACCCCCTGCCACAGGCAGGGACACCTTCCACCAGCCCAGGTTGCTCCAAGCCCCGTCCAACCTGGCCTGGGACACTTCCAGGGATCCAGGGGCAGCCACAGCTTCTCTGGGCAACCTGGGCCAAGGCCTCCCCTCCCTCCCAGCCAGGAATTCTTTCCCAATATCCCATCTAACCCTACTCTCTGTCAGTGGGAGCCATTCTCCCTTGTCCTGTCACTCCAGCCCTTGGAAATAGTCTCTCTCCATCTTTCCTGGAGCTCCTTCAGGCCCTGCAAGGCCACAATCAGGTCACCCCAAAGCTTCTCCTCTCCAGGCTGAACAATCCCAGCTCTCCCAGCCTTTCCTCCCAGCAGAGCTGCTCCAGCCCTGGGATCCTCTTGGGGCCTCCTCTGGACTCTCTCCAGCAGCTCCATGTCCTTGCTGGGCTGGGGACTCAAAGTAAGGGAACAGATCTCACAGGAGCAGAAGTGAGGGATCCAGGAGCCACGTCAGGACATATCCCTGTCCTGTGCCAGGGAAGGCTGTGCTGTGGGTTGGAATTGTGAGTAATTTGTGCAGGGCTTTGCTGGGGGAAATCACAATCCACAGCCATTTACTGCCTGGATTCTCCCCTCTCCCTGGCATTAAACCATCAGTGTCAATGTTACCCACTCCACACAATTACCTACAACCCCTGGAACCAGAGCTCTACAAACACTCACAGAGCTGAGAGAAAAGAGCAAAACAGGGGTGTTTTTTTTAGATTCCTATTTTGAGGAGAGGAGAAGGGAAAAGGAGGAACTGCTGCCATCACCTGGAGAAAGCAAAACCAAACACAGTTTCCTCATCACTACAGCTCGACAGATTCCCTAAGCAATAAAAGGGACCTTAAATCCCTGGGGAAGGCACAGTGTGTGTGACACTGCCACAGCACTGCCCCGGCTGGCCCAGCTGCAATGGAAATCCAACCCCTTCCCACCGTTTTTTTATGGAATACTCCAGAATGAAATGTTTGTCAAGCCATTAAAATCATAGAATCACAGAATATCCTGAGCTGGAAGGGACCCATAAGGATGATCATCCAGTTCACCTCCTGGCCTTGCACAGGACACCCCAACAATCCCACCCTGTCCCTCAGAGCGTTGCCTAAAAATGTGGGAATCAATGTGAAAAGCAGAAAAAAAACTAATAAACCCCACAAAACTCCAAAGTGGAGTGTAATAAAAGAAGGGATTGAATTTCATTGATTTGAATGTCTTTTTTGTGAGTAACCAGCAGGGGGTCATCACATCCTAAGGGTCTGAATATCAGCTTGGAAATAGTGAAGCTCCTGAGTGTGACCAGGGGGAGGCAGCTCAGGACCAGCAGGATCCATCCCAGTTCTGTGGTTTGGGTTTTACAGTCACAGAAATGCAGAGTTCCCCAGCATTTCACTCACAAACCAAAGTGAACAGGGAGGGAACTGGGAGAGAAGGAGAGTGAGGGAGGACAGCATGGCAGCAGGAATCCTGAAACAACCCAAATTTGCCTTTTTTACCACAAAATCTGCTCCTTTTACCTCAGGATTTCCTCCCACTCTCCAAAATCTTCCTTTTTCCAACCAAAATCTTCTCCAGACCCCAAAATCAGATTTTTTTACCTCAGAAACATCTCTCCACACCAAACTCTGCCCCTTTCAACCCCAAACCTGCCTCAGACCCCAAAATCTGACTTTTTTAACCAAAAATCTGCCCCTTATCCATCAGGATTTCCTCTCATCCCCCAAAATCTGCCTCTTCCACCCCAACATCTGCCACAGATCCCAAAATCTGAATTTTTTTACCTCAGAAGTGTCCCCCACACCCCCAGATTTGGCTCTTTCACCCCAAAATCTGCCCCTTTTACCTCAGGATTTTTTCCTACTCCCCAAAATCTGCCTTTTTCCACCCAAGATGTGCCCCAGACCCCAAAATCAGAATTTTTACCTCTGAAATGTCTCTCCACACCCTGAAATCTGCCCCTTTCATCCCCAAATCTGCCTCAGACCCCAAAATCTGCCTTACCTCAGCAATGTCCCCCACACCCTCAAATTTGTCTTTGTTACCCCAAAATCTGCCCCTTTTACCTCAGAATTTCTTCCCACTCCCCAAAATCTGCCTCTTCCACCTCCAAATCTGCCCCAGACTCCAAAATCTGAATTTTTTACCTCAGGAATGTCCCCCACATTGCCAAATTTGCCTTTTTGACCCAAAAAATCTGCCCCTTTTACCTCAGGATTTCCTCCCACCCACTGAAATCTGCCTCTTCCACCCCAACATCTGCCACAGACCCCAAAATCTGAAATCTTTACCTCAGGAATGTCACACACACCCCTAAATTTGCCTTTTTTACCCCAAAATCTGCCCCTTTTACCTCAGCATTTCCTCCCACTCCACAAAATCTGCCTTTTTCCACCCAAAATGTGCCCCACACCCCAAAATCAGAATTTTTTACCTCAGGAATGTCACCAAAACCCCCACATTTGCCTCTTTCACCCCAAAATCTGCCCCTTTTACCTCAGAATTTCCTCTCAACTCCCAACATCTGCCCTTTCACCACAGAAATGCCCTCATCCCCCAGTTTTGGTCTTTTCACTTAAAAACAATTTTTTACCTCAGAAGTGTCCCCCACACCCCCAAATTTGCCTTTTTTACCCCAAAATAAGCCCCTTTTACCTCAGGATTTCCTCCCACTCCCCAGAATCAGCTTCTTCCACCCAAAATCTGCCACAGACCCCAAAATCGGAATTTTTTACTGCAGAAATGTCTCTCCACACCCCGAAATCTGCCCCTTTCACCCCCAAATCTACCTCAGCACCCCAAAATCTGTATTTTTACCTCAGAAATGTCCCCCATGCCCCAAATTTGCCTTTTTTACCCCCAAATCTGCCCCATTTACCTCAGGATTTCCTCACCCTTCAAATCTCCCCTTTTCACCCCCAAATCTGAATTTTTCTACCTTGTGAATGTCTCTTAACACCCCTAAATCTGCCTCTCTCACCCCCAAATCTGCCTCAGACCCCCCAGATAAGCATTTTGCAGCCCAAAATCTGCACCCACGCTCTAAAATCTGCATTGTTTTTTACCTCAGGATTACCCTTCACACCCCAAATCTGCCTTTTTCACCTCCGAATCTGCCCCTTTTACTTCAGGATTTCCTCCCACCCCCAGTTCTGCCCTTTTCACCCTAAAATCTGCCCTAGACCCCCAAAATCCACACTTCTGACCCCCCCAAATCTGCCTTTTCACCCAAAACCTGCCTCAGCCTCCAAAATCTGCCCTTTCGCCCTCACAACCAGCCCCTGCACCCCCAAATCTGGCCTTTTTACCCCAAATACTGAACACCTTCCCACGGTTACCTGTCACCTCCAGGCCTCTGTCGCAGTGCCCCGGATATCCCGCGCTGGCCATGACCACACACACGGCCGTGCTGCTCTCGCACCAGGCTGGCAGGAAGCTGCAGAGTTTGCCATCAATCGTCGCTTGAATCACCTCATAAAAATCACTTTTAAGCAGAGGAAGAATCACCTGCAGAAAATTTTCACAGCAACAGAAGTTTTATTTTGCTGACTTGCTGAAGTTCAACTTAAAGGAAACTCAATCAATAGAATAAAATTTGTGTGTGCTGAACCAGCAGATTGGGAAACTGTGGGTGAGCATTTAATTTGCAGCGTTTTTTGGCACTGTAAGTTTAGACACATGAGATATGAACATATTTCGAAGGAACATGAATTTAGGCCCCTCCCATTCTGCTTTTACTCAGAAAAACCAAAATCTGCAGAACAGTTCTTTAACTTAAAGCCCTTAATTAACAATTCACAGGAGCTGATCAGCCAAAATTTAAAGTTACCTCAAACATTGTCTAAGGTGTTTGTATCCAGATCTTTCCCTAGAGATGTTACAACAGTCAGATATAAAAGCGTGAAGCATCTTTAGTTATCCAGTATGTTCCACTTACCTGGCACTGGGGATCCCCAAACTGACACTTGAAGTTTAAAATCTTCACCCCCTCTTTGGTCAGCATTAAACTGGTTTGCAGCACACCTGGACAGAGGGAACACAGCCAAGCAAAGGAATTGAAACATTTATTGTTTTCAAGGACTCCTTTAAATGCAACACATTATTTTGGAATGTGGGATTAATTTCTGCAAATCATAAGGAATGAGGAGCGAGACACTGAGTGACATCCGTGGGCATCACCTGCCTTTGCCAAAACAACCTTCACGTAAAGATGGGAGGAAAACATGCACTGGAGTGAACAGTATGACTGAACTTCAGTACAGGTTATGCCCTGAACTATGAATATGCTTTAATTAAAACTATTCAATAAAATCTAGTGTGTTTCATGGAGAAACGACCAAAGTTCTTCTCTCCAAAGGAAGAGCTATAAACCAAATGAGGGAGGCACGAAAAATGAACTGCTGCTGGTTTGGTTTTTAAACAAATGCTATTTGGAATTCAGAAGCAACCTCTGACAACGGAACTTACCTGGATGGGACTTTGCCTTGGTTTGCAGCTGAGTGGTTACTCACCCACATAGGCTGTTCCTTCTTGTCTCATACTATCAACAACGTGCTGGAGGATTGCAGCCCTGATCTGCTCCAGAAGAACTTCTGGAACCTGACAACCAACATCAAACTGGTTGGGATGGTGATGACATTGGCTGGACTTGCTCATAGGACCTGGAAGGACCGGGGTGAGGAAGGGCCTGTTTGCTGCTGTCCCACCCCAGCCCGTGAGCTCCTTCCCTTGGGCTGCTGCTGCCTGAAGGATGGACACACCAACCCTCTGCCTCCCCAGGTTTTTTGGTTGGTTCTTAAGGAGGTTTGAGACTGGCAACCTGGGCTGTACACAGGCAGACTTGGAGAGAGCCACACTAATAATGTGTGTGAGCAGTGTATTTACAGCAAGCCTGCAAAGCTTTAAGAACCAACAAGAACCCCAAGGTTATGTTCACAGAGACCCTGGGCACACAAAGGATTTTGCAGGAATTTTTGAAGTGATGCAAATGGGAGCAGAGAAACACCAAGTCTGGCAATACTGGAAGAGGTAGAAGAGAGGCCATTCCAGAGAACACTGGCTAAATTAATTAAATCCTAAAGAATGATTATTAATGTTTGAGCCCTGTAATCAATCCCAGAAGAAATGTGGATAGAAACAAGAACTGGAACAGGCTCCCCAGGGCAGTGGGCATGGCCACAAGGCTGCCAGAGCTCCAGGAGCATTTGGACAACGCTCTGAGGGACAGGGGGGATTGTTGGGGTGTCCTGGGCAGGGCCAGGGCTTGGACTGGGTGATCCTTGGGGGTCCCCCCCAGCTCAGGACATTCTGGGATTGTAAGATTGGGCCCTAAAGGACATCCCTGGAGCACAGGCTGAGCAGGAGCAGGGCCCTACCTGAGGGACTGGACAATAGGCTCCCATCCCTCCAGTGTTGGGGCCCTGGTCCCCATCCAGCAACCGCTTGTGGGCCTGGGCCGGGGGCATGGGAGCGATGGTGACACCGTCCGTGAAACACGAGCACTGTGAGGAGAAACACACAACAGGAACGGTGACAACGCCCTGGCCTGAGGGACATCCACTGCTGGTCACAGCCCAGGGCTCAGTGCTGCTGGGAAATGTGGGAATCACAGCAGCCCAGACTGGTTTGGGTTGAGAGGACCTTAGAGGTCACCTTGTTCCACTCCCTGCCATGAGCAGGGACACCTTCCACTAGACCAGGCTGCTCCAGGTTGTTCCAATTACCAAGACAAAGTCCATATAAACATGTTTTAGGTCTCTCAGGGAAAAAAAGAGATCGTTTCCCACCAAAAATGATCACCATAATTGCCATTTTATGGCTAATATAGAAGAAAAACATAGGACAGCATGCATTGATTACTATGACATCACACTGCATATATATAACATGCAATCTAAGCAATGTATGTAGATATATTTCTCCAAGTGCAAATAAAACAAAAGACTTCAACTACTTGAAGCAATAAACTCGTGTGTTTATGCAGGAGCAGAGCAATGATGCCAAAGAAGAAAAGCACAACATCACCCCATCGATCACATACAGAAAGTTCTTCCCCTTGAAGAAGTTCTTCAATAACAACCATCTCTCCAAACATTCTGTCCTACGAAAAACAAAACAAAACCAAACAAATCCCCAGTTAGCAAACAAGAATCCGCTGCCTAAATTCTCTCTTCAGTTTCTTGTAACAGAAAAAACAATGCATCTTAGAAGTCCCAGCTTTCTTAAATGCTGATGTGTTGGGCACAGCCAATGGCACTTCATTCAGAGACAAGGAAGCCACACTGAAATGCACTTTAGCAGGCCCTGGGAGCCAAGGAAAAATTAAAATTTGGAGGAGCAGGGCAGTGGGACTCAGGACTGGAGCAGGAGTTCTGCCCCAAAATCTCCAAGCCCTGTCTGGGGCACACAGGAGGAATCTGAGGAGGACACCCAGAGAAATTCTCAAATGGGCAAGTTTCTCCCCAAAGTATTTGCCTCCCGCAGCTGGAATGACAAACTCCCAGACTACAGAACATCCTGACTTGGATTCCCAGTGGTTAATTGGGGATTTACCCACCTGCATGATCTCCTGGGCAGCTCTGCAGGCCTCCTCCTTGCTGGCTGTGATGGTCACCTCCTTCCTGGCCGCAGGGCCCCTCGCCCGCACCACTCGCGCAGGGAAGTCCGTGCTGTAAGGAAAGCAAAGGGAGGTTCAGGCACCGCTTCTGCATCCAGGCAAATCCTCAGGTTTCACCTCAATGCCTCCCATAGTCTTACTTTCTTCCCCCCCAAGTGCTTGAAGAACAACAGCACATCAGAAAAACGTAATTTTTTGTCTTTTAAATGGCTTATGAAGCATCCTGAAGGAGCTGATGGAAGGGAAGAAGGGCTGGGATCTGTGAACACAAAACCAACCTACTTCAGTTCACAGAATCATAAAGTCACAGACTGGTTTGGGTTGGGAGGGACCTTAAAGCCCATCCAGTGCCACCCCCTGCCATGGGCAGGGACACCTTCCACCAGCCCAGGTTGCTCCAGGCCCGTCCAACCTGGCCTGGGACACTTCCAGGGACTTCCAGCACCCTGGGTGAAGGTCAGATGCACAGAGAACTTGGCAGAGGAGCTTCCAGTGTCCCAATATTCACCTGATGATAAACCTACAGGCTTCCTGGGCGTTGCTGAAGGCTTTCCATCGTGCTGTTGGGATCCCGTGTCGATCCAGAAAGGCTTTAGTGAGGCTGGTGTTGGATGCCAGCTGGGCTGCCTTGGCAGACGGGCCAAAACACCGAACTCCTGCTGCCCTCAAGTCATCAACAATCCCTGAGCAGCAAAAACAGCACAGGAACCAAGGGGACCCCTTGGAAACATGAAGTCATTTGACAAAAGGAAATTTCCCATCATTATTCCAGCTCTGGTACACTTTTCCTTGTCTCAATAATTAATTAATCCTTCAAATGAGGTTCTGAATATCCGTGACCTGTTTCCTGGTGCAGTTTAAGAGGTCTTTGGCTCTGCACATCACCAAGCACTGTCACAGTTACCCCCCCATTTTAAACCAGAATTTAAGGTGCTGATTTTTTCTGTCAATTTATTTCAGCCTTACCAGCTGCCAACAGAGCTTCCTCTCCAACTAACACAAGGCCAATGTTGTGATCTTTGCAGAACTGGGTAACAATTGTGTGATTGCTCACCAAGACAGCTGAAAAGGAAAACAAAATATAATTCAATTATCACTGTAAAGCCCAAATACGAGATAGGAGATGAGAATACCTTTGTTCCATCTCCCTATTTCAAATAATGAAACAGCCCATGAAGGGCAAAATAAAACAACAATTTAATAATTAGAGTCCAAAAGGAGCAGTGAACATTGCCACTTTGCACTACTGTTTTTATTACACATTGCTAAGTTATTCAATCTATTTTATTTATTTGTCACATGTAATCAAGATAAACTCTTAAAAGCTGCTTATCATAACAATAACAGCATTGAAAAATAAAACTATAAGTTCAGAAGGAAACTCAATGTCAAGATCTGAGCAAAGGTTTACCCAAAGCCAGGGCATGAGCTAAATTCAGCTGGGCAGCCTGGGCAAACACTGGGGGAGTTTCTATTCAGAGTTTAGAGCTGTGAGCCCTCTATTCCAGGGTTTTACAGAAAAAAATTACACTGAAAAAAGTAAATATGCGCCTTAAATAAGCTGTGGCACCAGTAAAAGGAAAGAGCAACTGTTACCTCACACCACCTCAGGACTGCTGTGGGTGGCTTTGACTCAGTTCCTGCACCAGCAGCACTGATGGCCTGGCACAAGGTTTTATTTTATATCCCCCCTATTACCTGAATTGGAAATTTTTCCATTGTCGGCCGTTCCTGCATTTCCTGGAGCCACAAACACATGTTTGATGTGCGGGGACTGGGCCAACTTCCAGGCCAGGGCGTGTTCTCTGCCCCCACTGCCGATGACCAGCACCCGCTGAGCCATCAACCTGTGGGACACAACCACCATCCACATCAACCTGTGGGAC